TGTGATGCACAGGTGACACACAGACCCAGCTGTGTCCCCACAATGCACTGGCAGCACTGCAGAAGGATGTTGTCCACACCAGAAAGCACAGCCAGCACTTCCTTTTGGGCACAGCAGGGAAGCCCAAGGTGGCTTGCTGCTGCCCTCCTTGGTGCATGGCAGACATGCCTCTTCCCTGCCAGGCTGGAGCAAGGGGACAGCTTCTGCCTTTGACTCCTGCTACCTGGGTCCTCACTAGGTCCATTACTTTCACAATGCAAACAACCCCAGATATGCCATTTTCTCTATCACAATTAAATAAAGGATATCTTAAAAGCTATTACATATAAATCCATGCTGCGTGCACTTATACAGGCTGCAGGACTAAAAGAAAGGTATCAGGGCTGCAAACATGAGCAGTTTTGACTGTACAATGAGAAAGCGCATACAACTTCAGTTAGATAACTCACTCTAGCAACTTGGCAGCATCCCCTATTTACTGGATTGTCATGTGTCTAATCCCTGGGTTATCAGTAAAACACGATTCAGCAGCAGCACAGGTTACACATTCATGTAGGTATCAGCAAGGGCCTGCCTCTTTGCTTCCAATTTTCTATATTATAGTAGCAGCCCCCTTCTGCCTTTTATCATACAAAGGTCATCTAGGAGCTTATTTTGGAGTACTGGTACTTCTAGATGGTAGGAGCTTTCAGAGGTATGAGTGACACATGAAAATGCAATGATCGCAGCATACCTGAATGTTCTAGTTTAAATGCTGTCAGTGCACAGCCTGCTTAATAATAAAAAGATTCTTGAAAATTACATCCTTATATGCATTTTTTTCTTCTTTTTTTTTTTTTTTTTTTTTTTTTCTTTTGAACAACCTGCATGCTGAGGTGGAAATTGGAAGTACTAGTGTAAACTAAACAGAATAGAGTTGGCTATGTGCAGCAGCTCTGGAGAAGTTAAATCTTGTTGCTGGTTTACAAAACCTGGGCAGCAATCCTGCTCCACCACAAGACTCAAGATTGCTTCACACAGAGCAGCTGAGGGGGCCACAGCCTTTTCTTGCCAAGCTGCAAATCCACGTTCATTTAATTTCCCTAATGAATCATCTCTTATTACTTCATGTGCAAGGGCCTGGTTTCTCTCCATAAGCAGCTCAATCAATTTTAAGAGGCAGAGCAGAACCTGGAGGTGGGGGGCTTTTCACATAACTGCTGAAGTGATGCAGTTTATCTTAAAGAAAGCAAAGGTATTAGGGTATATAAGGAAGTAAGAGACGGACTCGTGATACTAAAAAGTTACAGAGGCATTTGTCACAACAAACCTGGAGAAGTGCTTTTGATGAAAGCGTATTCCTTACCTTGGTTTCCACTACAGCCTGAGTTCTCACAGGAGCCATCATTCACCAGATGACTGGGGGTCCCTCCATGCAGGTCCCCTGCACCCACAGCCAGCTCTCAGCCATCTCGTAGCCCTGGTGGAACATTCCCAGCAGCGCCTGAAGGATGCTTCGTGTCTCCTGTGCCAGACCTCTCCAGGCACTGATCAGATTGGCAGCAGAATGAATGTGTCAGCCTTGGAAACTTTGCTTCTGGGCATAGTACTGGGCATAGGACATTCATCTGAAACTAATATATTGGATAGAGGAAAAGGGGAAAAACTAAATGCATTATTGCTGAGACGTAAGTATACTGTGGTGTTTCTTCTAGCTGTTCCATGTTCATAAAAGTGGGTTTGCCTTGATGGAATCTCTGCAGCTTAATTCTTCTCCTGTTAAATTTAATGTGATTTTTCTTCAAAAAAAAAAAAAAAAGTTACCAAGTTTGAAGCTCAAAGCAAGTCAGAAAAAATGAACTTTACATTTGAGAAATATTGTGGAAAATTCTCAACTTTTTATTTTCTAAAGGGCATTTTCAACATCAAAATGTAAACTTTCATGATTTTTTAAAAATCTTTTAACAGAATTTTTCCAAAATAATTTTTAGATTCATTAATTGATACCCTAAAAAATTGTAGCCACAAGGAACAAAAACTATATTTTGTAGTTTAAAATGAAAACAGCTTCTTAATTGTGTCATGATTCCACAAGGTATCAGCTCTATATGATAACGGAGTTGTCAAACAGGACTTCTACAGAGATTAGGAAATCCCACACTGAGAAACCATCTACTTCCAGCTATTCCTCTTGGTTTCAGTTTTTCTTTATGAGGGCTCTTTTTTTTTAAGACCTTGTTAGTGCAATTACAGCTGTGAATCTAGTATTTCTTAACGTCTAACAGGAGGCTTAATTCAATGAAAATGTATGTAGGTAGAAAATAACAGAAATCAATCTTATTTTGTGAACACTCACTTGGTACTCTTCTCAGTTCTTTAACATGATGAAATCAGAAGTTCTTGCATTTGGCAGTTCAGCTTTCCCAGTCAAAGCAGTTGTGGAACGTGCTGTCAAGCATAAAATTGGGTGCATCCAGAGCTCTGCCTTGGGGCAGTGCACAGGAAAAGGAGATTCCTACAACAGAGTGACTGCAACAATTAGCTGAACCACGAACCCTAAGTTTAGCACCCTCACACTCAGAGCAGAAGACATGAAGGAGAGGAACCACAATGCCAGTTTGACTGTGCTAGCTATGGACCTAATGACAATTCATTGATTCAGTTCCCTGAAACTTTAAACTTCACAGACTGAAACCAAATAGGATCTGCTAGGTTGGAATATATTCTTGCTCCCAAGCATGTTTCCATGTGAGCTTCTTCATGTGATCCAGCACAACCAGACAACCTAGCCTCTTGCAGAGAGTCAAGCCATGTTTCTTGCCCAGCAGTCTCTTCTGCCAATCCACAAGTGATTTACTGTTAATTTTAATTGTTTATATTTAATATATTATAAACCACTGCAAAGAAACTAATATGCTGGCCAAAACCAAATGTTTTCCAAAAGAAAAAAAAAGTTTCAGGACTGGCATTAATTGGATGATGAACAACTTGGGATATTATTATGGTAGTTATGAACTTGCTGCACCACTGAAACAACACTAGGGATGAGAGGCATGCATTCTGCACTTCTGAAAGCAGGAATATTTTGTCACACTGTCATCAGATAAAATTTCTGATGTATAGTTAAATAACCTTTACTTTCATCCCTCTGGTGTAAAAGATGAAAATCTTTTAAGAGTGAAAGTCCCAAAGAAATGTAAATACAGTGTATTCACTACTGACATTTCAAAAGATTTTGCCCCACCAGTGGAGACAGCTATTCTCTATTATCAGGTTTCCTGTCAGTCATGTTGATTAAAGTTGATAAATACTGCAAGCCACTTGGGGCAGGCTAAAGGACACAAAAGAGAAATGTAACTTATTTGAAAAGGAACATATTTCCTGGGAAATGAAAAGCAGGCCGTATTGGCCTGTACCTTGCTACTTCTAAATAAAGCCAATTCCTTCCCTCCCCCTCCGCCTCCCCTTTTTTAAAGATATTTTTTCATTTTCTTAGAAGTATTACATACGTATATACCACAATTACTGTAACAGTTCTTTTTGTGGACAAAGCAGTGTGGTATGGAAGAGTTAGCTCAGTCTCTGTGCATTCACATACATTATGATGTTTATCGAACTTGGGCAACAAATGACAATTCACTAGACCAGTTTCTGGTATCTGGACTCCATGAATACTTCATCAATAATGACCTTCCTTCAGATGTCTGTGGAGATACTTGCAGTAATGTAGTAGAGAATGTGAATGCCCAGGAGTAACAACTGTAAATCACGGAATATTTTCCATAAAAATTACTCTCCCTATCATGTCAAAATTTCCAGAAGAATACTTTTATGACTTGACTGGATACTGTAACTATAGAAGTAGAAAGGATGCAATGGCAGAATCCAAGTTGGACCTGGAAAAAGATAACACTTGAGAGAAAGCTGAAATTCACTGTATTGAAGAAGGAATGAAACTCTTGGTAATTGAACTGAATTTTTTATTTAAGAAAAAAATCTTATATTTAAAATAAATGATTAATGAAATTCATTATGTGGCTATAAAATATTTGATGACCGACACATTTTTGGCTAATAGCATGAACTCTACTGCCAGCAGAATATATTGGTTTAAACTCGTAGGGATTTTTAAAAAGGCCTGCAGGGCCTTAAAAACCTAAAATGATGTGGATTTGGAAATTCTGAACTAAACCCAGTTTGCAGTAGTATTTTAAGAATATCATATATGCATTTACCTTTCTGAGCTTATTGTTCAGCTATGTTTTTTACAGCAGCTGGCCTACCTGAAAATTCAATGCAATAAATTTCTGACAAATTGTAAAAGAAAGAAATCCAGTCCCACTCCTGTACTACTTTGGCATAAAATGGATTTTTTTTTTTTTTTTAATAATCAGATTCCTTTTAAAGTGCACAGGGTGCCAAAATGAATGTGCCCATTTTAGAATCTCTATCTGCCACTGCAGAAATCTAGCTGAGAAAACTAATACACCTTTTACAGCATTTTTAATATAGCTACCTTGGGTCTTCTTATTTGTTCAGATGCTTATCCATCATAAAATCACACTGCATAGAATCAGATTACAAACCCTGATGAGAATTCTACATATGTGGCTAACTATGCCATTATAATTAATTCAGTCAGAAAAACACACTGTGTTAACAGAGAGGAAGACTTTTTAAAATCCTGGCATTTTCCTTAAGCTTTGAAAAGTTCTCAATAAAGACATGCACTATGATGCAGCAATATGAAAACGGTCAAGATCCTATTTTGCACTGACATTTCTTTACTCCATTTTTAAAATAATGGGACATATTCTTCATATTCTTAATACAGTATTTTATAGTTTTGAGAGTATTTCAAATAATAATTTAGTTCATGAAGTTGCAATGAGAAATACCTGATTACTTTCACAAACCAGAAATGATGGCAGCCCTCTTGCACATTTTCAACGAAGCAAAGGGGATGACTGTTACTCCTTATACCAACAGAAACCATGGCAGGAAAAGAAATTACTGCAAGCTGTTTGAACATAGATTATCACTTTTTAATACTATTATTATTTGATACAAATAATGGGAACTATATTACCAATGGTAGCAAGATTTTATTTGCCCAGGATTTCTTTTATTGCAGCTTGTTTGCAGCAGAAGCTGTTAGTTTGCATATCTCTTGACCCTTTATTGTTTGTTTAGGAAATTCATTTTGCTGTAAAAAGGCTGAGGATTTTTTTTTTTTACTAAAATACAATATAGAAATAAAGAATAAAGACAATTTTAGTGGTGCAAGCTACTACCTAAATAGCTTAAACCATTCATATCATAGAAGCAATATGAAGAGCACCTTGAGTGTTCAGAAGCAATTATGACAGTGATAACTGCAGATGAAATGAAGCAAAATGTGAAAAATTTATCTTCATGTACACTTTTCTACATAACAGAATGGCCTCCATTTATCTTACTTCTTGTTCTGTTAGACTGATTAGTTAACTGGCTTCAGAAGCAAAATAGGAATGAGCTGACAAATTGTTCCCTTTGACTTTTGCACAGCCCAAGAGTAAATATCAGATTTAACATTTAATCATTTAAAACAGCCAATCTGGCTACAAGATAAGATGTGAATACATTAACCCAAATGTATTGTCAGTACATAGAGGAGATTTTTGCTTTTTACATATGGATACTTTAAACACATTAAAAGGATAAGCAGGTAGTGGCATCTTAATTTTACCCTACGTATGACCTTTCTGAATTCAAACAGGATAAAACAGGAATCTACTTGTTGATCAACATTAGAAAACACATACTTACAGAAAACAAAACCCAAAAAAATCTCATTGCAGGACATAGCTGTTGTGAGAATAAATGCCTGAAACTATGCTTTTTTACTTTTACCCTCAGATACCTAGTCACTCACCTGGATTTTCAAAATACTTGGCCTATGATCTCCTGCCTTTATTTTTAAGAGTAATCTCTTTGAAGACTTCACATGCAAGTCTAGTAGTCATATGTCTGGAGAAGAGATCAAACAAATCCTCATTATGTCAACAGAAAAATAAATGTCATTTCCTCATACTGATCCCTGGCAAGCAGTGGCTGTGTCATTTAATATAAGAATCATTAGAAAGAAATCAAGGTTTTACCAAATTGGGCTTTAGAGATTCACGTGCTTCATAAGGATTTTAATGGTAGTCTAATTTCTGTGTCTAATTTTGAGATGTATAGAAAGACTTCATCAGGTAGACTTTTTAGCTCTTTTCACAGATAGTCTCAAGTGCAAACACAAATACCTTAAAAATTCTGTCTTAAGATGATTTTTACCATCTGTGTTAAGCTGTATTATACAGCTTTACAAGCTGTTATATTTCTTTTGTTAATTTACTTATTTTTTGTACATGTTTCAAGCATGCAGAATTGTGTTTTATGTTATGTATCTAAACATTTTTAGACAGCTTTTGACCACAATTTTCAACCTTCTCATTGGTCAGTTAAGCAACAGTGATGAATGCCTCCTCCCACATGCAGTCTTTGGAAGGTAAGAACCCTTAGGCTTGGCAATGTCCTACAATTTCAGTAGTCTTTCTAATACACCCAAATTACATTTGGCAGAATTTCATGATAGATTTTATTAGCATATGCTCTGTATATCTAGATTCTTGGTGAGCTCATCCTCTATTTATCTAATGTAGCATCTGAACAACCAAGGAGTTAAGCCTTCTAAGACTCTTTTCCTGGCTTGTTAAGAATCTTTTAAAAAAGGATTTGGTTGCAACCCTATTCCTTCAATCCCTCATGCATTGACAAAAGAGCTATTAAAAATCTGTTACTGTTATAGAAATATACAGGCTATCCTGGAATGCTCTGGAGCTATGCCTTGAATTTAACTTACAAAAGATGCGTTCCAGTCTGATTGCTCCAGCCTGTGGTTTTCTATATCATAAACTGAAAATTCTGTTTCTGTTTTAGGCATTTTAATCTCAACTCCCCCATGAGCACTGGAAACAGGGGCTGACTGTACAGATATTTTCCAGGCCTCTTTTCATTTCCTTCCACTGTGTCTTGCTTGTCCAACAGTTTCTCTTTCTGATCTCCTGCTATTTTCATTCACTTCCCCTCAAATTCTTTTGCTTGACATTTTTAGTTTCTATAATCTGATATTAAAACAAAGCAAGAAACCCGTCTCATAACCCCTTGTACAGTCTGACTCTTTGTATATGCATACAGTTCTCTCAATTTCCAATTGCTGTTCACAGGGAAACACTCAAGTGGCAGTGTAGCCTGGAGGCTGCTTGGCTGGCATGGGGAGAAGGGGGCTGGAGCTCTGCAGCTGTCCTACCCCTGCAGGTGACATCTGGAAAATGATTTCATACCCTTCTGACTTTTTATGCCTGTCCTAAGGATCTTGTTTGTAAATCTTTAGTGACTTGCAATTTTAATTTTAATTTTTTAAACAGAGAGGTTTTACATTGTTTAGCACGAAGGGACTGTGATCTCAGCTGGGGCACGTAGGTGTTACTGGGCTGCAGCACTGAGGGAGCTATGGTGTAAACAGAGAGAATATTTTTGTTCTGAAAACAAGCAGACACTGCACCACCACTAATTGAAGACATATTTTTTTCGTGAATGATATCCAGTTGAAAAAATGTGTACAACATAACCTCTGGAATGAGCTCAAAAGAAAGATATTTCAACAAATATGCATGCACATGTGTTCAAGAATTTTTTTTTTTTTTTTAATTTTCCCCACCCTATTTTAATGAGGGCTTTCTTTTATGCAGATCAGCTTTTTCTTTTTCTGGTGCCCACAACACAGCCATAAGAAAGTCATAGGAAAGTGGGGCAGACACAGATCCCCGTGACACCCTGAATAGCCTTCCTGCATTGCCAGACACCACCACTGCTGCACTTGGAAGGGTAACAACTACTGTTCATGCACAGGAGACTACCACCAGGAGACGACAAAAATACACAAATAGTGTGGGTAAAAACCAAATGCACTCACACTTCTCTTTTCCCTTCCTATTTCCCAGTACTTGTGAAGAATTTCTAGGTTATGACAGCAGCAATATTTGTTGACCGTGACATAGTGAACTATAATTAACATCTATATGATTCCAAGAGACAATATTTTCATCATAAAAAGTAAGCACTTCCATGTATATTCTGATACCTCAACCTTTTGCAGCAGCTGAGCAAGCTCAGTACTCACAGAGAAACAAGATCACATTGACCGCTGAGACACTAAGTGCCCAAATGAAAATATAAATTCAAGATCAAAATATTTCCTGATATTTGTATTTTATATATTTACTCACAGATTTCTATCTAGAAAGTTACTTACAGTGTTGACACTAATTTGAATAAGCTGTACTCATTAATGGGTTTATACTTTAAACAAAATCTGTAAATAGGGATGGTGATTGTAGGGGAGAGTTGTATTAATCTGACATTTCCAGTGACAGACTAGTTCAGTCATGACCTGGATTAAGGTCACACTCAAATGCCTTATTCACTATATTATTACACCCATGAAGTGAAGAAACGGAATGAAATTAAAAATACTATCAAAATAATAATGTACAGTTGTGGGACTACTGAAGAAAAAGTTTAGTTGAAGTAAAGGATTTTTGCATTCTGCAGGGAGTTCTGATGTTTAGAAGAAAAGAATTGATCCAACCCTAACATATGCATCAATCCAATGTAAATGCAATACATGTATGTAGAGAAAATGCATTCATGTAACATTTTATATCACATGCTGATAGCGTCATAGACACCAGATATTAGGGTTTTTAATTGTTTTTGAAAAAAAAATCTGTGCAATTTTTAGTGCCTAAATCTAGTTTTCTAAATAAAAAAATAAAAATAAAAATAAAAACATTTTCTTTGTGTTTGCTATGAAACAATCTTTGATATATATATATTTCAGTATTTTTTCAACATTTTAAGAATGCTTTCTTAATTTGTCACTGAAATTAACTGAAATTATTTAGGGATTCTAAAAGAAATTCGTATTAAAATATTATTCTGACAACAATGGACATAAAAAGAGGAGTTCTGACCAGCTCTCTTAAGACAAAAGTCAAATGTGTTTTTTAATTTTATTTTAAATTTTATTTTTTTTAACTCCATATGGAAAGTTTCATAGGGAGAAATATATCTTTTTGAAAGAACCATTTAGGCATGGTGGTATAATATGACTCTCTAGAAAAAGCAATACTGACCCTTCTAACATTTTCATGCCACTGTATACATCAGTCCTACACTTAGTCATAGTTCTTTACAACAATCAGAAATAGTTAAAAAGTTTTCCAGAACACTGTTATTTGTTTGACATTTTCCACAATGAATATGTTACGTTTTATATTAGTACAGCTGGTAAGTACCTTGATAATGATATCATCTGAGAGCTATTCTTCATTCACTCAGGTTCATATTTAATAGGCATCAGAGATCATAGAAATTTTATGATACAATGCAATAGATTATCACACCAACTGAAATTACCAATGTTAGAAATTAAGTATACCTTTATAGCAGAGACTCTTGGGTAAAAAAAATGAAGCAGAATGCAATGTAATGGAGAAACATAAATTTCATGTGCACTAAGAATGTGTATGAATAATGTATTTAATATGCTGTTATATTCATCTAAAATGAGAGCAAAAAAAGTAATACATTTTCTAGAGAGGCTTAACATAATCATTTCCTTGAAAATGCTAAATTTATCTTTAACCTGTTTTCTCCAATTATACTCATTGATGTAAATTGGAAAAAAAAAAAAAAGAGCAATCCTCAGAGTAGCTTTTACAGCATCTTTGTGGTCCCAAGCCAAGAAAAGCAAGGCAGGATGCTTTCCTGCTTTATTCCCAAATAAAAAGAAAATACTTCAATTGCTGTATATAATGAACACTTTAAATATGAATGTATTTGTCAAGAGCTGCAAAGTCAATGTTGAAATGCTGCCAATTTCTGTGACAAATGCTGTTATCAGGAATGTATAGGAATTAACAAAGCAAAAAAACTGCTTTAATGTGCTGATTGTCTTGCTTCTTTCCTGAGTCAGTGAAACCTAGGCAATTTTATAGATTAAAACCATCATGTTTACGGTAAAAGCACAGGTAGATGCCTTGTGGCAACTTAGTTATCCTGACCTTTCTGGAATGAGGAAAATCTTTTCCCGACGAATCTCCCCTGCAGCTTCCTGGGACTGTAGTTCCAGCCACAGCTCTATCACCAGCAGCCCTCCAGTTCTTCCAAAACCTTTTTCTTACTCCTGTGAACAGCAGAAAAACAACAAAAAGACACAAAAAACTGTAAACTTCGTATCTAACACAGCAGTCTGAAGGAAGAAGCGAAGTATGGATAACTTTAGTACCATCTCTTCCTACTGCCCCCAAATGAAACATAATGCAATGTTGTGGAAAATACAATTAAGACTACCTGCAAACAACTTTGTCTAAAGTGTTCTTCAGTCAACCAAATTTACATGGTATGAAAAAGATTTCAAGATATTTCACAGACAGGAGCTGGCGATTTTATTTAGGTCAGACTTGTTAAATACATCAACAATAACCAACAATAACATAACTGCATATAGCCCTCTACATCTTGGACTGTGCTGGACTTCCAACTATATTAAATCAAAACTAATAATTAACAAGAACAAATCAAAATCCAAGGAATAATACTAAAGACTGAAAATAATAATAGTTGAACTCAAACTTCAAGAATGCTAACATGACATATAAATGTGTTACCCTATATTTTGCAAAGCAAATTCCACCTTACATTGGAAACTGTGTTAGAGAAGAATAGCATTAGTTAGGTATATTTGCTACAGGGTGTAAGAGAAAATTAATTCTGATTTGCACGTAAGCTTATGAGCTATACCTATGAAAAGCAAATAAAAACTTTGTTTTATTCTTCCTTTTATTTTATCGTTGAAAAAAAAAAATTTTGACATGCTGTGGCATGCCAAGTTCTACGGACCAAGTTCATGGACTAAGTTCTATGTCCAGAAGGCACATCCAGACTGTAGGGTACATAGAGGATATGTCCGCTCACAGTGCAGAATGCATAGAAGAGCTGCTCTGACAGTGCTGCCAACAGCCTGGCCTTGCAAACAAGCACAGGTCAGCATGTGCTTTGCTATGGTTTGTAGGACACCCAAGGTTGCATAGCCACTTTCAAGAAGCTCAAAGAATAAGCCATGTCAAGACCTCTACTCCCAGTGGTGATCACTAGTCAGAGCTCTGCCTGCAGAACATACACAAAAGCTCTCAGAATGCAGCACAATTAAATAAATATTTGAAGGAAGACTGACTTCACTCTGCTGAGGTGCTTACATAGCGATTAGCAACTTGACACGTGAACAACGCAGCTTGGATCAGTCAGGAGGCTGTCAGATAATGCAGAGTTTCTGACAGCAGGTGGATTGAGGTCCTTTCCGAACATTCGATTCTTCTCAGTATCAGCTGAACATCCTGTTGACATGCCACCAGGGTTAATAATTAGTGCTTTTCATAAGAACTTCCACTACCTAACCTTCTACCTCTTTTTTTCCCCCCATTCTGACAGTAAAACATAACACAGATGGAACAAAGAGTAACTCAAACTAATTTTAGCTTTAAGTGGGCATTTTCCAACACACTTCAGAATATCCAGGATTTAATAGCCAAACAAATAAGGAATACATTTTTAAAATTAATTAAAGCATGTCCTTCTAATGAATCAGTTTGAAAACAGTTGGAATTATGGAATTTTGCCTTGCTTTCTTAGAGGAAAAGATGGCCAATGTTAAAGTAGTTTTGCTGCAAAAGTTTTTTTTTTTTTTTTCCTTTTAATTTCTTCCAGCTCAGGACTCAAAGTCTACAAAATGTCTCTTGACCTTAAAGAAATGTTAAGGTTCATGTTAATAAGTAAATAAGGTAGTCTACTTGAGAGAACGTTTTAAGATATCAAGCTGATTATTTTAGAAATTTTCTCATTTACAGAGTATCCTGCAAGAACACGGTTTTCAAAATGAAAATGAATACAGGAAGATCAAACATTTTTACATACATAAAATCACAGTGAATTTCTGGTGATAGGAATTCATTCATGTAACACTATGATTTGTTGTCTCTTGTGTTGAAGGTATGTGCTTAAATAGGGTCTATGGTTTACAAAAAGAGGAAGTGTGGAGGAATTATAGGAATTATTTTCTAGTTATGAGCCTATTTTTGCATATATAAAAAGGTCATACCAACTAATCAAATTTGGGGCTAAAGTCATTTAAAGCATTCTTTAAAAGCACATAAAAATTCAGCAATGTATTTTTCAACATGTATGCAGTCCAATGACTGAAAAGAAAACTGTAGGAATGCCATAGTGATTTTGTTATATTGTTAACACTGGAGAAAACAAATGGCTATAGAAAAAGATCTGACTGATCAAGTATTTTACAGCAGACTGCCTGTTAATGATTCTAAAAGAGTAAGCACATCTGTTGCAAATTAAAAGAATGTTCATCTACAATCCTTGTAATTCAAACAAACAAACAAAGAGCAGTTTTGATCACTGCTCTAGTTTGCTTAATGCATCATATTAATAAGCATATGCTCCACTGGTAGCCTGGCACAAAACAAGGGCTCTCAGGCAATAAAGCCGTAGAAATAACCAGTACACCATAACACTCCACAGTATTCTCCAAGCACAACAGAATCATCTTGAAGCATAAAGACTTAAAATTTAGGTTTACTATTCTTATCAAATGGAATAATAATAATAAAAAAAGTCAATCCCAAATTAGTCAATTTTTGGTGATAATAACAAAAGTTTTTTCAAACAAAAAAGAAAATTGCCATTTAACATGTTCTCTGTCAGAGTCAAATAGCATTTCTTGGGTTCTAATAAAACGTGTTCTTGATCATAAGCATCTACTCTATATTTATTACTGCCTGACAGCCTTAGGGTCATTAATTTATTGCTAAGGTGCATATGTGTATATGTGTTTATGTGCATAATGTGATACATATTGTACTTTAAGTATGATATGGTCTGAATCTGGAGCGTACAAATGTAGTACACAGCAAATACAAAATCCTTTTCTTCCCCTAAGTTAAAAAATATTTTTATTAATGGATGAATATCTTATTAATGCTTGAACTCCATTACAGATTATTTTTATGAAATATAATCAGTGCTGAACCAAAACTCTTTAGACTCTATAATTCAGACAGTATAGCTGCTGCTATACTTTTTTTAAAACACTGTGTTAACAGATTCAGATGAACAGAGCTTTCTTATCACTGTTGGCAGACTTTCATTCACAGCATGAGATAAGAAAAAAGGAGCTATATTATAAGTGTTTCAAATTGTAGTTTATACTAACTTGCTCCTCTTATTGTATTTATTCTATTGCCAAGTTAAAAATGAGCAGAGTGTAAATAAATCTGAATTGTACTATTCTGATCTGTCAACTCAGTTTGTTAAAAAAAGATAATACAATAGCAAATGAAGTATTAATTTGCATTCGTTCCCAATTTTGTCTTGTTCCAATTCATCTACATAAAAATAAACTAGAATTTAGATTTAATTTCTACATGTCTCTACACCCATTTGCTGTATAACAGATTTGATTAATGCAATCACCCTGAACCAGACAAGAAGAGCAGCTTCCCCAAAAACAAGAATACTTGATTCAGCACGGATTTTCCTATTCCACAGGCAAGAATATATGTTTTTTTTCTTTCCTGGAAAATGCAACTATTTTAGGAGGAACTAAGAGCAATAAGAGAGAAAAAAGGAAATGTAAAGTGTATAAATGAGAATTAGACAGCTCTCGTTTCCTCAGGGTAGAACTATCAAAAGCTTAAGTTCTTCTCTTAAATATGCAAAGTGTTAGTCCTGTCTGGTGCTAAGTGCACAAGGATTTACATAGATGCAGTAGATTGAGTTTTATCTTCTGTCAAAAGTGTAGGGGCTTATCCATATGATTATTGACTTCAGAAAGCCACTAACCAGATGATTAATTTCAAGCATATATTATCGATCCACTTTTGTACTTAAGCAGGATCTTAAATGCTTGCCTAATTATTTTGAATTATGTCTGTAAAAAGGCAAGCAAGATAAAAAGACAGACTGCAAGTTGGGTGCAAGCCCATGTTTTCTATATCCGGACAACTCAAATACCACCATCTGTTGCTTTCCCTAAAACAATCCAAAGGTAATAAAAAACACATGACTGTTCTGATTAGGTGTGATTCATATTTTGAGGAAACGACAGAGAAATGTAGGCAACAGCAATGTGTCAGTTATAATGAGCCTTCCGTGTAACAACTTCTTCCAAAGTGAGAATGAAACTCACTTGCAAGTTGATTTTTCAAACTCCGGGGTATAAATAGAATAGTTCGGCTGTAAGGAACCCTCAAATATCATCAAGTCCAACTGCCTGACCTATTATATATACATATATATAATATGTATAATATATAATATAATATTATATAATAACATGTATTATATATATACATATATGTCTATTATATATATATATTTAAATGATGTTTTAAGACAGGACCTTTGTAAATGCAATTATTTTGATAAAATGTTTTTCTGGTTTATTTTTCTATCTTCTTTCTATACCACAGTTGAAGCTTTGAAAAACAGCTTTACCATGTATACTACCCACAGAGATATTGGTTGAAGATGTAGGATGTCTCAACCCAAGAATGCAGATGTGGAGCACACACAGAGCCTCAGATGTCCCAAAAGGCTATTTTTTCATTCCAGTTTTTTGAGCATTACTTGTTAATATTAAAAAATTATTCCAAGCTCCTGTCTTTTGTTTCATACTTCTTCCACCACTTAAGAAACCTCCCAGAAGTCCAGAAGAAAAAAAGCAGCAGTTAGGACAGCAAATGACTTCAGAGCAATTTTCCCCTGGAACTGGAAATTCTTACTGCTTCTTCATAAACTCTTGATTTTATAAACCTACCAGACCTTTTTTTAACGCTCTGTTATCTTTTTGACTACCGCTGAAGAGGAAACAATCCACTTTTACTCCACATATTTGTCTCATTTCCAAGTAGAAAATTTAGAACCTATTATCTTGAATTTATTAATTAATCCTGCAGGCGGCTTTTGTTTTTTCTGTTTTCATTTATCTGCTTAGTCCTCCTTTTTATGAAAAAATGCTCCTGATGCTTCCCTTTTTTCCAAAGGGGACATACACATATACTCATATCTCTAGAAATAAGGTCTAGATCCACTGTAAATCACGTAAGCTCATCTCCTGTCACATATACTAGAAATTTTAATTCAACAGGTTAAAAGGTCACATACAATGTACAGAATACATTTTTAATCAGCTAAATATTTGAAGATTATGATGATATAGTGTTGTTTCTATAAAATACTACTTGTCAGAAGAAAATGTATAAGATGAAAGCTATACTCACTCCAGTTACATTCCTTAATTTGGATATATAAAGACTAAAAATGATTAAATATTAGTATGTTAGCACTTTGAGGGGCCTCTTAAGGATGTTACAGTTCCCAAGCTTCCTTCTTGTTCTGTCTAAAATAGGATTTAGAGGTTTCTAATAGAATTTAGATGGGTTTAAAATCTCCATGTATGTGTCGTACTTCTACTGATTTATTCCATGAATTTCCTGTTGAATTTTTATGTGACACTTGATCTCCCCTGAGGGACTTGATTGGATAATATAAATTTCCAATGGAGATTAAACACAAATGAGTATGAAATTGATTTATTATAATAAGTGAAATTGAGGTCTGAGGTCCTGATTCTTTTCTGTTTTCCCCCACCCAACCTAAGAATGTCTGAAGATTTTTTTTCCAATATTTTCCCAACAAAAAACAAAGGAAATTAAGAGCACATTTCTCAATTACACATTGGAAGTTAGATGAAATATTGTCCCAAACTTGTTTGATTTCATGTGCACCAGAGAGTTGTTTGAATAGTTTAACATAGCTATAATTACATCGTTGTGAAGACCACATATTTTCTTACATGAATTCTTCAGAATCCAAACTCATTATCAATGTAATGGAGGAAATGGGAAACAATGTCTGTCAAAAACTTGTGTTCACATCTCTATGTTGGAATATTAATTCCAAACACGTAATTCTAAACATGTAATGCAGTGCACCATTGTAAATGTAGATGGATTGTCTGTGGGCAATAATTTTTGGTATCACTTTCAGATGCAGTCTCATTGACACACAAGGTAGGTTAATCTACAAAACACCAGTCTTAGCTTCACATTCTGAAACAATTCAAAAGCATCTGTGGTCTCCAGTGACAAAACTCCTTGACACATGCATGAAAACTGTCTCTGCAGATACTGAACTTCTGTACATTCAAAACCACTTCTTCTGCCTGGGTTTATTCATCCTACAAACTGTGATTTGCCCAAAGAGTAATTACGAAGAGACAAACATTTTCAGCCCTACCGTTCCATCCCAACTGATG